TTGAAACATCGCTGACGGGATTCCCGTCAGCGATGTTTCACTATCCCTGACGGCGATCCCGTCAGTGATAGACATTACTGACGACAGTTCGTCGTCGCTGTACACACGAACGCTGACGGGTTTCCCGTCAGCGATAAGTATCGCTGCTGTCAGCGATAAGTATCGCTGACGGGATTCCCGTCAGCGATGTACATAACATCGCTGACGGGTAGTCGTCAACCCTGTTATGTGCATCGCTGACGGGAATCCTGTCAGCGATACTTATCGCTGACGGGAAAACCCGTCAGCGATATGCATTAGCAGCAAAAAAAAAATCTGGTGATTATATATTTATTTCCCTGTACATATCATCAATTCCCTGTATATCTCATCCAATCAATTTTGACAAACAAACCATCCACATGTCATAAGTTCTAAATCCATACACATCAAACCAAACAAACCATCCAAATTCGAAATATGTACATAATATCGTCAGTAAACCATACACATCAAACCATACACAAACACGATAACTTCCAAATCCACAACAATTTTCACAACAAACCATACACATGTCATAAGTTCTAAATCCATACACATCAAACCATACACATGTCACAAGTTCTAAATCCATACACATCAAATCAAACAAACCATCCAAATTCGAAATATGTACATAATATCGTCAGTAAACCATACACATCAAACCATACACAAACACGATAACTTCCAAATAAATAATTTAAATTTAGAATCACATAATATTGTGTGTAATCATATTTTACATATATAATAAGTATACCTATCTGCTACTCTCTCCACTACCAGTAAATGCCTTTTGAGTGGCCAAGAAATTCATGATCTGGCTTTGCACCCGAGTAGAAACCCGCCTTCTACAAGATTTCATTATTTGCCTAGAAACCATCGCAAAAGTAGCAGTAGGCTGGATCACTCGCATAAGCTCCTTTTGAATATCCTCTCACATCTCCTCGGGAATCTGACCATCTAACATATTCATGACAGAGGAAACAAGATGCATCGCCTGCTGAGTACAATCCTCCTGCGGCATGTAAGAGGGCCCCGATGGCATAGTCGATGGTGTTGAAATCGGCGGAGGCTGGAATTGTGTAGACACCCTCTGAGCTCCAACTCCCATCCACCTGGTCCTCCCTTTTTTGGGAAGTTCACAAACTAAATGGCTCACATTGTAATTCTACTCTCTAGTCAGGGGCTCCTGGCTCTATGCAACAACCTCAGAATATGTGTTTTCCAGAGCTTCCTAGAAGACAAAAAAAATAAATTTAAGAATTGGCCTTTCACACACTAAAACCAACAATTGATTTATTAAGTCCCAACTTCAGAAACTTTTTTTAATAACTTTAATGACTTTCTAAACAATAATAGAAACAAAAATTATCGTCTGCATCTCAAATACTAATATGTAGTTTTCTTAATGATCCAAGTGACAACAAAAATTATCTGTCATGCAATGATATAATCTAGTAAGTAAACATTTCTTGGAAGTTTGATCCAATTTCAACTTTATTTTAACAGAATATGTATGATTAATAGCAGGTGTATTTCATTCAGATGAGAAAATAATGTAAAAACTTCTCATCCACAATCAGAGCATTCAAGACCTACAGTTAAATGGACCAAGTATATCAAAAAGAAAAAGTATTATCACATAGATTCTCAAACATTAGGGCATGCGTCGATTTTATTGTAATCAAGTCCTATAACGGAAACAATATTCTTTGCGTTATCATAATTTTCTGGTATGCTCTCTTTTCCATTTGGAATGACTTTTCTTAGCAACACAAGCAACATATTAAAATATTTATCTACCATTCCACTAAGAGACTTTATACGCAAAAGACGCAGCATAAATGATAACCTGGTGAACTCGTTTATCTACCATTCCACTAAGAGACTTTATACGCAAAAGACGCAGCATAAATGATAACCTGGTGAACTCTGTGCAACCCTCGTACAGATCATTTTCATTATCGTCTATTAATTTTATTATCTGCGCCAGCTCCTCATGATTAGTCACGCCTCCAGCATTTCCTGACTCGTCAGCATCCTCGGCATAATCAGATTGATCTATATTAGGAACTGTTAACATATCTGTGAGCATCGTATGTGTATCATCTATTCTCGTATCATCTATTCTCCCACCGGAAGTACCGGTATCCGCTATCAGTTCCATTTCTTCAAGACATCCTTCCCCATGAAACGTCCAATATTTGTACTCCTCATGGAATCCTGATATTAAGTGTTTCTGTAAATCACTTTTATCCACCAACGCCCTATTTTTACACCAACAGCAGGGACAATACACGACATCACTATTTAACTTCCGTGGGTTTGCTAAGGCGTACTGTATAAATTGATTTATTCCATCTTTATATCGACTATCCCTCCATCTATCAATACGAGGAATATCGATCCATGATTTGTCCGGAACTATCCTCATAGATATGTATGATATTAAGCATAATTAGGTAATGTGAATTTTTATTAGTAACGCATCAAATTAAAGGTTGCGTGATATTAACTTTCTTCACGACATCAAGGAAATTTTAATTATAATAATCTAGGAGGGAAAATTACCAGAACATAAATTATGTGGGAGTAAAATCTAACGCTCATATTTGAAATAAGACAATTTAACGGCTGGGCTAGGGAATGGACCTATCCCATTAGGAATATAGTAGTGTTTACAACTACCTTTATATACTTTAAACGTTTTTATTTCTTGAAAATTTCGGCAGCACCTACCCGCAGTTCTCCAAGTACACTGTGCGGATGTTATAATGCGTATCAATCATCGATAATAAATCGATTATAGATCGATACGCAAAACAACATACGCTTATTGTACACGGAGAACAATGCGGTACGTGTTATCAAAATTTATAAGGAATAAAAATGCATAAAGTACACAAAGATAGATGATACACTACTGTATTCCTAACCTGTACGAGAAGGGGACTCCTCCCCGGACAGATCTAATAATTATTGCATGTATATCATGCTCCTAACATAAATCATGTTATTCTCTTTATATGTAAAAAGTACTTTCACATCCAACCAGAATTGCGTGAGTTTATATAAGAAGAGATTCACATCCAACATTATTAGACGGGAAACTAGGGGTAACGACTTTCGATTCATAAATCATGATATATAACACAATAAAACTTGTAATTACCACAAGAGAATAAATTAACCAAAAGAGAATAAAGACCCAGAGAGTAAATTAGCACTTAACATTTTTATAATTGTATTGTTCTCGTTTATTGTCATATTCATCACTATACATATCCTCTCTCTTTTTTTTATTTACCATATGAAGTCGTATTTTTGTCATAATAGATTTTTTTTAAATATTTACAATATTCTAATGATGGATAATTTAGGATAGTTAAGCATAAATATGATAAAAATAATTGGATGTTTAAGTACCATTTAGTCAGCCAACTTATCATACGTGTATTGTAAAAGGACCATGTTTCTAGTAATCTCGAGGTTACTCATATAAATACACAAACTTCATAGATGCTCGTGTAATTACATATTTTTTTAAAGTATTTTCAATTTTTAAAAGATATTTAGCCCCTAGCTCATATATTTTGAAACGAGTTTTTGAAAAGTTGATACTGTAAATAAGTTCCTTAAAATCAAATTAGTCTTCTAATTTAAATCAATTAATTTAAACTGGCAAATTATCTTTTATCACATTCATTCGTAAATTAAATTAGAGGAACTAAATTTGCACCGTGAAACGAGTTGACTTCAAGCAAAGGTTTACACGATAAACTTATAACCTCTGTTATTTCAAAATTAAAACATCAAGTTGTGACAGCAATGCAATCCAACAAAACGTAAACTTATAAATATCAGCCAGCTTGATCGTTTTATAACTAATTATGTATAATTTCTATACACTAAAATGCGACAATGACCAAAAATTACCGCTTGGATCTCCTGCAGTGCAATCCAACAAAACGTAGCACTCACTTGGACCTCCTGCACTGCAATCAAAGAAATCAAATATCCAATTAGAAAAAACAGCAAAACCTAAAATCAGAAAAAAAATTAAAAAAATTTGAAAACAAAATCAAAGGAATCATACGCTGACGGGTGAGGAGATGAGAGAGCTCAGGCAACCCACTGTCCGAGTCGGCACGGGGGCGGTGCGACGGTGAGCTCCAAGGTCGATGGTGAGCTCGATCGGTGCCACGGGCAGCGGGAGGGGAAGGTGATGGCGCGGGCGGCGAGCGGCTGAGGTGATCGGTGAGGTGGCGGTGAGGTGATCGCTGGCGGCGAGCGGGTGAGCTGAGAGAGGGGAAGTCGAGGGCGCACGGCGGGAAAGAAAAATTAGGGTTTCGATCAGCCGAAAAAATTTCAACAGCGAAATTAAATAGCTAACATCGCTGACGGGGAAACCTGTCAGCGATGTTAACATCCCGTCAGCGATGTTTTCATCGTTGACGGGAAGGAATAAACGCCGACAGGAACATCGCTGACGGGATTTCCCGTCAGCGATATAAACAACGCTGACGGGAATTTCCCGTCAGCGATGTTCCCGTCAGGGAAACCACTATTCCCACTAGTGATCATCAAAACAAGAAGGTCAACAGTAAAATCTGGTTTGTTTGTGTTTGTGACGTTATTTTGCATTGTTTTGCTTTCTCTCTCGGCGATTTGTTTTGGTTCCTTGAAGCACAACAATTTTCATATAATGTAAAGCTCAGTATGAGTTATCTTACTAAGACATCCACCCAAGTACTGGTTCCAAGCAATATGGAAAATGCCAGCAGAACTTGAGAAGGGAGGGGGGAAAAGAGATTTAACTTATGCAGTATACATAATCATAATGTTACTGACACAAAAAAAAGCATGCACTACAACTCTATTTTGTTGCAATATAATACTATTGAAAAAATCATGTCGCACGAGGATCACCAGAAACATAGCTAAACATATTAAATTAAAAGTATATTGGACAATTACAAAGAAAATCCTAGCAACTGATACAAGGGAAAAAGATAGAAAAAGAAGGCTTTTGTAGCAGGGCATTTATCTGTTTAATTAAATACAACCAAAAATAAATACTCACCCATGGTAAATAGGTAGCAGTAAAAGTGAAAAGGACCAAGAAACTCATGTGGATGAAAGGATTATGCTTGCTCCAGACATAGACCTGCAGAAAATGTAATGAGGGGGGGCAAAGTTTAGAAGTAGAAAGTTAATCCATATGTTGTTGTTCATATATATTGGCACTATTTACTTTATAAGGGATTTTAGCATACACATACTATAATTTTTCAAGGTTACATATTTCATCTTGCTTAGTGCATAGTTTTGGGCATGCCGTACACGGATAAATTTGTTCTACTTGAACATATCCGCTAATAGGTTACACACACCAGCATATATAGGAAAATACTAATCTGACAAGTAAAAAAAATTTGCATATGCTAAAATCGAATTAATAAACAATTGGAAAACTAACTGAATTGAGGGGGGCCAAACTTTAGAAGTAGAAAGTTAATCCATATATTGTTGTTCATATATATATATAGGCACTATTTACTTTACAAGGGATTTTAGCATACAAATACTATAATTTTTCAATGTTACACATGTTTCATCTTGCTTAATGCATAGTTTTGGACATGCCGTACACGGATAAATTTGTTCTACTTGAACATATTTGCAAATAGGTTACACATGCCAGCATATATAGGAAAATACTAATCTGACAAGTAAAAAATTTGCATATGCTAATATTGAATTAATAAACAATCAGAAGGCTAACTGAATTATATATATATTATAGACTTACCATCATAAAAGTCAATGAATTACTGAGGAACACAATGCCTGCAAATTTCTCCGACACAAAGGGTATCATTCCACCTAAGAGAACAATTCCAGTCAAAGTAGTGGCACCAAATAAAAGCATGTAAAAGAAATCTGCAGTCCATCCCCTGAATGAGTTCTCCTCAAGAAGCTTGCAATATCGAGCAAGGAAAAACATGTGGAATAAGAAGTCCAGGTCTGTCAACAACAACAAACGTAAATGAATAAACCAAGATCAAGTAGATAAATTCAAGAATATCTTGAGGGTTCAAAATAAAGCAAATACATAAAGCAGGCAAAAGAGAACACTTCACAGAAACTTATAAAAGTAGATTCCACTGGAGATCTGAAATATAGCATAAAATGATTCAATATAAGCAGCAAAATATTAAGGTTAGCTAATGCACACCATTTTGTGTAATCAAAGGAATAAAAAATGGAAGAAGAATCAGGCCATTGAATTTTCTTTTACAAGGCCACTGAAAAATTGCATAACCTCTAAAGCACAACAGTACAAAAACGAATTAATACCGCTGGAGGCATCAAGTAATTAACAACATGAAGTGCTTCATTGGAAAATGCAACACAATCCCCAGTTTGATAATCAAGATAATATAACAATACAAGAGAAAAAAATCATGAGAGAAATCCTTCTAACTCTTAAGTTGGACGGCATAGAAATAGATTGAAATTTTCAAAATAGGAATGTCTATTAGCTACAAGTTTATTGTCTACATGTTACTTGTCATTGAAAAATTAGCAAGGAGAACCAATAAGCTCCCAACACCTGCATAGGGATGTGTATTAAACTATAACTGATGAATTTTCGCCAGAATTTATAAAATGTGATTTGCATACTTGTATAGTCGTAATGTTGATCATATTAATTCTGAAAGATTATTCAGGTCTGTATTTGATGTTTAGTTATGGCAATGTTTACGACAACCTAGTTTCTTTGTTCGTCTCCTTTCACTGCTATATACTACCGAAAATGATTCAGGTCTTGTTTCTTCAAATAACAAAGTCGATGAAACCGGTGCATGCACATAGAAAGTTTTACTCAAAAAGTGCAGTAATTAGATGAGCTAAAAAAGTACTCAAACCATAGAAAGTGCGAGCATATTAAACTATTCTAAAGTGCAAAGTGCATGGCTGCTATATACTACCGAAAATGATTCAGGTCTTATTTCTTCAAATAACAAAGTCGATGAAACCGGTGCATGCACATAGAAAGTTTTGCTCAAAAAGTGCAGTAATTGGATGAGCTAAAAAAGTACTCAAACCATAGAAAGTGTGAGCATATTAACTATTCTAAGGTGCAAAGTGCATGGTGCAACATTCATAAAAATAGAAAGCTATACCGGAATAGTGTATTGGGTGGTAACAAGCTACAGAAGCACTCAACCATACAAAGTGCAAGCATCAAAAGCATTCTAAGAGGAGGTAGACATTAGGCTGACAGAAGCACTCAACCATACAAAGTGCAAGCATCAAAAGCATTCTAAGAGGAGGTAGACATTAGGCTGTGTGGTTTTTCTTTTTTCATACAAAGTGCAAGCATCAAAAGCATTCTAAGAGGAGGTAGACATTAGGCTGTGTGGTTTTTCTTTTTTCTTCTGCTATTCACTCTTGGTCATCAGGAATCACCAAACCAATACAATAATATATTAATTAAAAATTGATACGTAGTGGTGCTCGATGCAAAAATCTCAGAATTCAAGTCATTCACATATCCAAATATGACACTAAGCTTTTTAATGTGCTTCAGTCAAAAAAATTTAAACTTAATAAAAATATGCATAGTAAAAACAAAAAGTGTCTGGTTTTCTGTTTCAATTCAAATTTTTTAATGCCCATAATATATGATGAAGTTATATAATTATAAATTTATAGAAAATATTAATATTTATCTTGATAGATGGGAGAATCAGCAACCTACAAATCCTTAATCCTGTAAATAATTCATGGCATCTATCATAGCTAATGTTATTTTTCATTACGTTTCTTGATTAATAGATTTAAAATGTAGAAGCAGACATTGTAGGAAAATATCATAGCTAATGTTATTTGAAATATATTAATAAAGAACATTCACATACGCACAGAGAATCTAATGACAGAAATTAAAAATCTATGCGACGCATGAGTTGTCACTGGAGTTTGATCCTCAGGCGGTGATTAAAAATTTTATGAACATGTATGCATAGCGTGCACAAGAAATATATTCCTCATTAAGAGAATTTTGGTTCATATCTAATAAGCCTCCTATGTTTAGTAACATCTTTTCAAAACAATGTGTAAAATAATGTGCACTTTTCTAATACACTTTTACGTCTAGATTAAATAATTTAACATTTTTTCATATAAATATAGATATTCTACTTGGTTGGATTTGCCTTGTTTTTCTTGAAAAGATTTTAAAGGTTGTGGGTGATTCAGGTAAGTGAAACAACTTTCTTCTCTTTTCCCTTTATTTGTGTTCATAGTGATGATAACTCTAAGTTAATTACTCTTCAAAGGGGGAATTAGAATCTCACCATGGAGAAGAGAAGACAAGCTCCCCATTTGCATGTAATCATACACCTGCAACCTCTCATCCTTACTGTAGTAATAAGGCCTCAAACCCACCAAATTTTGATGCTCCATCACTCTGATCACCGCAATCTTCTCTCTGAACTCCCTCTCCATGGTGCTCACCTCCTTCAACCTCTTCACCGCCGCCACCGTCCCCATCTCCAGCACCGCCTTGTACGCCATCCTGAACGTCCCCTTCCCAAAAACCTCCGCCGATGGCCTAAGCAAATCCTCGAGATCGTAAACCCTAGCCCCTTGACCGAAGAACATCAGCCACTTCTCGCCATTTTCAGCAGTTGCGGCCTTGATCGTCTCGTCGCCGCCGTGACTGCCGGAGGTACCGCTCCCTATCCGTCGACTCTTTTGTCCGTCAATGTGAGCTCCACCTCCGACGGCTTATCCAACGCCGCCACCGCCACGTCAGCGGACCTCGCTCTGTGTTTAGATCCCTTCTTTGTACAGAGAAGAGGACAGAGACGACAACCAAGAAGACGATGTCGGAATCAAAAGTAAAATTTAGAAAAGGAGCAAATAATACCTTCGTCAATGAGTCTCCTTTGTGATCGTAACCAATGCCCAAAATCTGAGAAGTGAGGAGATGATGGCAGAGGAGGTGCGGTGATGATAAGCGCAATAATACTCATGGTTGGCATATAATAATTTAAGAAAGTGGGAGGGCGTTGCCGGAGGTGAAGCGTAACCGATGGAGAGAGAATGAAAGGAACGAATGCTTAGGGCTCCCAATTTCTTAACTCTGTTTAACGATAAAAAGGGATACAGTTGTTATATTTACAATAGTTAAAGGGTATTTTGGTCTAAGGAAAGTTTTTCTAGAACACACTCTTTTAAAGGGTAGATAGATGATGTGCATACCCAGCCAAACAAAAGAAAAAGATAACAACATATTTTCTATAAAGTTATAGGCCCATTTTCTTGTTTTGAACCAAACAAAAAAAGAGCAAGAAACAAGAAAAAATTATTCTTTTTTAGTTCTATAAACTTTTCTACACCTTTTTGTAGAAATATAAGGAAATCAATTTTTTTATTTACCTTTCCTTTTCCTTTTTTTTTATAGAAATTGAACCAAACACCCACTAGGACTTAATCAACATTTTGTCGTAAAAAATTTGTCCAATAACCGGGATCCAGGTTGTTCTAAGCCCCACGTCAGACTAGTCCTAAGAACAACCAAACCCTCTACATCGTTGATTGCAGAGAAAATTTTTATTTTAGTTCAACACCAACAATATCTCTTCATGTTGTGAACTCTAAGAATGATATTGTTTAACTGAAATTAAATTCTCAAAAAATGAAATTATTTTTAAAAAATTCCTCAACCATTTAAGAGAATTAAAAACATATTATTTTATAAGGAGAATTACAACTTTCAATAATTTTATAAGGCTACTAAATCACCGCTTCCATTATTTGCATCAATTAGACATATAATATTTATGTTGAAAAGTGTCACTCGGGTGTACGGGTGGTAAACGATCGAATCGAATCGAATACTAAAGTGTTCGTATTTATATTTGTTTAAAATTATCAAATTCGAATACGGACTCTAATATTTGTATATCTAATTTTTCAAATTCGAACTCGGATATTTGGTATTTGATAAATATTCATGAATATTCACGAATACTTATCGAATATCAAAGTATATTTATTCCACTAAATAATTTAATTTTCAAGTAATATTAAAATTCATAAATAAAAATTATTCCTTCATAATATGTGATGTATATTTATTTAAATCAAAATTTTAATTTGAAACTGATTTAAGATTATTTAAGTTTTAAAATCAATATATAAAACTAAAGTAGAAATGGTAAATGAATTAAAAATATGACATTATATGTGCAATAATACAAATAATAAACTGTGATCAAATTTTAAACGAATATTTAATAGACAAACGAATCGAATATACATCTAGTTAAATTCTATTCGTTAGTAAACTCGAATACTGAAAAATATTTGTTTAGTGATAAATGAACTACTGAATCGAATATGACCGAATAGTTATTCGAACAATTATCGAGCTATTTGTTAATTATTTGGTTCATTTCCACCCCTACTTGGGTGAGCACATTTTAGTCACACCGAATTACCTGAGTGAACCGTCAGAACTTTGGCAGTTCGGTACGGTTTGAGACCGTAATTATAATTGTGAGTTGCATTCGAGTTATGGGGTTTTTTAAATTATAACCATATTGTCATATCTAAGCGTTTGGCAAGCGTGACGTTTTTGTTGTTTCTGTTTTTGTTTTTAACAAAAACAATAAAACACGTTTGGCAACCGGGGCGTTTTTTTGACTTGACCCTTTACAAAATCCAAAAAATAAACATTTTTTTCAAAACACCAAAAATGTGTTTTGAGATTTCGTTTTTTCATCTAAAGCCGTGTCCGCCCGTCGCGCCTGCCCGCTCGCTGCCGCCCTCGCCGCCGCCCGCCCGTCGCTTGGCAGTCGTCGCACGCCGCCGCACGCCGCCGTCACCTCCGCTCGCCTGCCTTGCCTACCGTCACCGCTCGACCTGTCGGCCGGTCGCCCTCGGCCGTCGACGCGTTGCGTGTCGCTCGCCGCCGCCCAGTCGTCCCGCGTTCGCACGGCCAGCTGCCACCCAGCCACCCGTTCGCCACCAACCCGCTCCGCCCGCCGATGGGTCGTCATCCGCCCGCCGCCGCTGCCCTTATAAATAATAACTATTAAATGGTGTTTTCAAAACATGGTTGCAAAAAAAAAACATGGCATGGTACTTTTTCTAAAAAACACAACAAAAAACAAAACACTCCAATTACAAAGTGTTTGGTAAACCAAAGTGTTTTTTTTTATGTAGTATTTTTTTAAAAAACACCATATCATGGTGTTTTATTTTTCAAACCGTGTTTTCAAAACACCATTTATAGTTATCTATTTATATAGCGCGACGGCCCGCCAGCGGCGGCTGGGACTGGCGACGACGGCGCGACGAGCGACAGCACGACAGGCGTTCGGGCGCAGACAGCGGCGGCATGGCCGGCAGCTGCGCCGACGATGACCTGGTCGGCCAAGGGCGGCTCAGGCGAGAGACGACCACCGGAGCAGGGCTGCGAGCTGGGTCCGTCGGCGGGGCGGCCGCTGTGGGCGCGTCTTGCAGGGCAGACAGCAGCAGCGTCGGCAGGCGACGGGACGGCCGACGGGCCAACGGTGGCGGCCGGCAACGCGCGGCAGCGGGGGCTAGCGGTGACGGCGACGGCGGTGGACGCCGACGGGCAGCGGCGGCAGCAGCGCAGCGGCGGGTGGTGGGCGGCGGGCGGGCGCATGGGCAGCGGCGCGCCGACGGCGACGGACGGCCGACGCGGCAACGGCGGCGCGCTTGGCGGCGGACGGCCGACGAGCACCGGTGCGCGGCGACGCGGCGGGGCGGCGGGTGGTGCTGTTTCGTCGGGAACAAGTTCTGTTATAGAATTTATTATAACTGTTATAATGAATACAAAGGAGTGAGCTTCGTACTTTGTAAAACTACTCTTTACAACAAAAATCAAATTACAAGCTCCTTAGAAACAAACGCAGGATCGTTGTTCGGATCACTGATTGCGCGGGATCTTTGCCTGTGCCGGGGGTGCGTTAGCCCGTGGACCACCGAATCACGAATTCTGATTAAACCGTGAAGGCTTTGGGGATTCTTCATTCGTTTAGAAGCAAGAATAGTTTCAGTGAATATCTTATCGAAGTAAGATGAACATTCTTCTCAAGATCAAGTCAAAGCTTAGATCTTAAGGAACCTCCTAATTGTTGGAAGGAGATGAACTCTTGAAATTCTCCCAAAGCCTTTTGAAAATCTCTGCCCAATTGCTCAAGTAATAGCCTCTCCGCTCTCTTGGATCTGCTCCCAAAAAATGCTCCACCCCTTTTATAACTGCCGTCCCACTACTTAAATACCATATTTTTATGAGGTTAGTGGGCCTATTTTCAGTTTGTAACTATTTCCCCAAGTTTATGGTTAATCTCAAGCAATTATGAAGCCAAAAAACCGTCAAAAAACGTGTTGTAAGCAACTCTGTGGCCGAGACAGGGTTGTGTGTCTCGCACTTCCGAGACAGTTTGTACTGTCTCAGATATTTTGACTTTAACTCACTCGTACAATATCAGAATGAGATGATCCAAGATGCGTTGGAAAGCTGACGAAGAGATCTACAACTTTTGTCTTTTGACCTTCTTCAGATTTGGTGCGAGACAGTCATGACTGTCTCTCATTCTGAGACAGTTGTGACTGTCTTGCACTTCCGAGACAGTTTGTACTGTCTCGGGTATTTTGGCTCTAACTCCCTCTTTCGATATCGGAATGAAATGATTCAAGATGCGTTGGAAAGCTGACGAAGATATCTACAACATTTATCTTTTGACTTTCTTCAGATTTGGTGCGAGACAGTCATAACGGTCTCGTATTCTGAGACAGTTGCAACTCTCTCGCACTTTCGAGACAGTTTGTACTGTCTCGGGTATTTTGGCTCTAACTCCCTCGTCTGATCTCGGAATGAGGTGATCCAAGATGCATTAGAAAGCTTACGAAGAGATCTACAACCTCCCATAGGCGAAACACTCATGGAGTGGGCGAGACACACATGATACTTCACCCTTTTGTGGTCGAAGCACAACTCCTGGTTGATTTGTTCCTTTGTCGTTTAGCATGTTTCACAGACTCGATGTGCTTTTTACCTTCTCTACAATATCGGATAATCTCCTTTGACTCATATAATCCTCCTTGACTCGGATAGTAACATTCATCGTCTTTTCTTCATCTCGAGCTGTGTGCGAGAACCTATAGGTAATTTTTTATGCCTACAGTGACGGCGGGCGGCGGACAGGCGGTGGCTTAGATGAGAAAAACGGAATCTCAAAATATCTTTTTGGTGTTTTAAGAAAAACGTTTATTTTTTGGATTTTGTAAATGATCAAGTCAAAAAATCGCCCTGGTTAACAAACACGTTTCATTGTTTTTTTTTTAAAAAAAAACGAAAACAACAAAAACGCAATGGTTGCCAAATTATCCATCAGTCACTTTTAATCGACACGTGCCAATAGATTGAGGAGACTCATCCTCTTCCTCCGTCTCTGTTTATGCTTTCTTGGAGAAAATATAGCGTCATACTAAAGGAAGTTATAAAGTGAATGTCATCCGAAAAAAAAAATTATAGAAATTAACTGCATTGCCTTCGTTCAAAAAAATGTTATAAAATCATTCTTCATAGAAGCATTACTGGAAGAATTCAATTACAATTTCAAAATAGCATTCTTTACACGAATCATGTCATAAAAATCAATCTTTATTGTAGTACCCGATCACTTTTGACATGGTTTGAATTTGAGACATGTTTACTATTTATATATATATTTCAAGTCTTGGACTATGTAACTACATTATGCATATTAATTGATTTTAGTTGTTTGCCATTAAAAGTGTTGGGAGAGAGATCAATAGATAAAAGTAATATCATTAGATAAAAGTGTGTTATTTATGCATGTTGAATAATCCAATAGAAGTCGTTGTTGTTGTGATATAGTGTGAATGGAACCAAAGACGAGTCCCAACCCGATAAAACCGACCGGACCGCACCGAAACAGTTCGGTGCGGTTTCAAAACTCAAGTCGATCGTTCCGGTTTGGGCAATTTCGTTTAAAACCGAACCGACCGCCAGAATGCTCACCCCGAGTCAACGCAGTGACTTAGTTTTCTCTCATGCATTCAGCTGCTGCCTAATATTATTCCACCTTTTATTTTAGTGAACGTCTTGTACCAATGCAAATGCAAAGAACAAATCTAAAGTTGCATCTGGGGTAACTGAAATGATTCTGCAACAGTGAGATCACCGATTGAAAATCACTAGTACAATGAAATAACTGCAGTGAAGTCATGGAGATAAATTTCACTTGCCCTCACATTCACTTTGCCAGGTTCAGAAACTAGGATACATTATGTAGACTACTTACAGCAATAGTTTCAAAACTCCCACTTAGCACGCCCAACAAAAACAATCACAAAGGCCCAGCAAGAGCTTGAAACTAAAACTAGACTTTCACCACAGGTTACTACTAATGTATCAATGTACAAACAGTTGCATTATGTATATGCTCACTTGAAACAAAGCACATACAAACAGTTGCAACTCGGTCAGGATCGCCATTCATAATCTTTTGCGAAAAACGACAAGAATTTAACCGATTTGAGGGAGAGCAACTATCCGGATGAGAATGACATGGCTTTGCATAAGTCGAGGGATTTCAAAGCTGATTGCGGAAACTGAGTTCCTTCAGGAACCCAGAAACCACCTTCACGAGGAAGCAGTATCTTTTTACTAGTTTCCTTCTCATCGCTGTTAGTCTTTGGAGGTGTGTCCTCTTTCTTTCTTTTCACAAACTCAAAGAACTCTGCGACTTGCTGCGCATACCTGAACAAAGTATGATTAAGAAGCATTAGAAAATAATAAAAGCCGGACAGCTACAACCGTGTGACAATTAGCACCAAGTTAATCATATCTCCAATTTACTATATGAATACATCAACAAAAGTTAGATGAAAAGACCCCACATGATAACAAAAGCCGGACAGCTACAACCATGTGACAATTAGCGCCAAGTTAGTCATATCTCCAATTTACTATATGAATACATCAACAAAAGTTAGATGAAAAGACCCCACATGATAATGTTAATGATCCGGCTGCAAGACTTTCTAGATATGGAAATATATTGAAGTTGCTCTAGTTCCACACACTTTAATAACATGTAACAATTTCGAGTAAGAAGAGAAATTGAAAACATAAAACATTGCATGATTCAAAGGAAGTGACAGATAAGGCAATCTTAAACAAGTGTTGAGTTAACTAAGAACATGTCCGAGCATGACAAACAAGAAATCATCGCAGTGTATATGGTAGGTCCATGATATTGTTCAAATCGAATGTTCTCTTTATTTGTAATGCAATCTGTTGAGTTTACAAGCTAATGACAACTTGAACAGTAAAACAGGGACTCATAATGTTGGTCAGCATAACTTGTTCTTGCATTTTTTTTCATTAACTGAATTAATGAAATGTCAAGTCTAGTTCCCACTAAATGTGGGAATCAACTATAGCTACTTAAATTACAAGTTCATTAGATACAAGGAATCCCTCATCACTAGCATAGAGTTCAATCTTCATCAGTTCGTAACCTTAATACCTAACCCTTTTGATACAAGCTTAGGCATATTCCACCATACCTGACAATTTCCCAGTAGAGGAAAATTTTATAAAATTACATCACTTCAGAAACATGAAACCCTTGTGCACTATATTCCTAGGTCATCTAACTCCAAATTTACCCAGACGACCTAGAATTTGCACATATCAATCTCATCCTTATTGTGTTGACTTAGAACCTACTAGACACTATTGATTAGTAAAGAATCATCATATGATGGTTGAGAAAGAAAACAACAAGACGTGTAGCACCAACCAATTACAATGCACAAGCATAGTGTTACAAAACTAGTAGATTAAAAAAATACTGAAAATGGCTGTACAAGGCTCATTTCATAGAATACTACAATTAGCTAGTTAATTAAAAACATTGTGCAGTGGTAAAGCCACATATTTAATGCTACTATAGTTATTAAGAATGCTTCATAAAACAGAAACAGGAAGAGTGCCATTCAAAGCTGTGGCCAAAAAAACTAATAATATAGCAGCAGGGCGGAGGAAAGAACTTAGCAGATCACAGCAGAACCACATAAGGCTATAGATAAACCCCAACTTTTTAAGCTATAAATGAAAAATGTTTCAGGCTTATTGGAGCTTACTCCCTCTTGGCTTCAATATCTTTGCTGAAATCAATATTGGGTTCGCAATCCAATACCAAAGCAGGAACCTGATCATAAAAATACTAACTTGAGCATGATGGCATGCAATAGTAGGAAGGTCGTGTGAGAAAGGTAAGTTGGGAAAATTACCTTTTGGATACTTGAATGCAAATGATTTCCTTGTAGGTAAAATACACGGTCTCTTATTCCAGGATGTAAGGTGTCATCCATATGCATCGGCAATTGACTAAAAGACAATACCCCATGATTTCCACTTTGAAATGGGAGAAGCCAGCTCTCATGTTTTTCATGCAAACCTTTCAAATAATCAAGGCTCACACCACCTTCCTCAGCCCTTTTGCGCATCATCATTCTCTTATGGCAAGTGTCTGGGCTAGCTCTTAGGTAAATGAAACCATCAGGTATAAGCCCTGGCAAGGTTGACACAACAGGGTCAAACCATGAATCATAGATGCTAATTTCCATCTCATTCATCCATTTAGCTTCATGAACTGCTCGCACAAAGACCTAAAATGAAAAATTCAGCGTTCAAAATTTGAGGATACCAAACTAAGGCATATGAGAAACCATGTTTAGTTAGAAGTTTAAAATATTGCTAATGCCCACCATTCTATCACTGAAAACACTTCTCTCCATTAACCGGAGGGGTTTAATTCCAGCAGCAGATTCTCGTTCTTGCATGACCCTGGTGACAAACACGTAATTCTGGAAGGTGTAGGCATACCTTTGTGGCTCAGCATAAAAAGCATCTAGTATGTTGAAGTGATCAGGACCTATATCTTGCCATTTGTTGATAGGCTCAGGCACTATTTCTACAAGATCACGCAACTCAAGTGTTTCATTAGCAATTCGTTGCAGGAAAGTAGTCTTTCCAACACTAATATTTCCCTCGACACAAAATGTCAGCCTTTTCTGTGGCACAGGTCTCATCTCAGAGCTGTTGTCTTCTTTTAACTCTTCATCCACGCTTTCTTTTATGAAAGAGGTGATACTCTCCGCATGGTTTTTATGGAGGATTCCTACTGAACTCTTTAAGAATTCAACCATCTTCTGGCTTGACTTTCCAAAAAACTAAGTGGCGCACAGAAAGAAAATATATATATTAGCATCATACTGGCACATCTCATCATTAAAAAAATAAAAACAGCAACCACTGTACTCAAATTGCTTCATGGACTCTCCAATCAACCAGCAAGAATTTTATTTCAGATATAAAGCAAACAAGCTTTGAACTAACAGGAAATTATAAGAAGTACAGGAAGAAATATATAACCCAGGCTACTAGCTACAGAATAAAAAATCTTTACCACCAACTATTAGCATTAGCATAATAGGAAACCTTAATAGATGAACAAAAATTCCACTACGCAACTTTGTCTAAAATCCCAGAAAATGATAAAGGCCATAGCCTATTTCACTTAATATAGCCTCATAGCCAGAGTTATCTCTTACTGAGCTGCAAATTACTCATGTTATTTAGAATTATCTGCAAGTTTGGCATTCTGTATTAGAAGAAGAACCTAACGTCAGCGTGGACCTTTATATTAGAAGAGCAAATGACTTTAATTTTTCTGGTATTACATGCGAGCTACAAGCAGTAAGACTTATTACCTAACACAAGCAAAAGAACTTTATTTATTTATTTATTTATTAATCTGAGGAAAACAGAATAGCATCTGGTCAAATGAGATAGCCCAAAATTTGATAAAACTATTCACTAATACAGCTAACATGCTTACATCAGACACCCAAAAGTCCAAGCAAAACTCATGCATTTCTCAGAGGCAGTAAATTTGACTACAAGTCCAAACAAGACATACTATCATATTCTTAACACACCAAAAAAAAATCTTTACAGAGAAACTTAATATGGAAACTCCAAGTTAAGCAACTTAAAAAAAAAGATGAATTTATCCTGATACATCACTTTTCACCTCTCAATACACCCGAACAAGTCATGTATAATTATTTGACTTATTTATACATGTTATGACCACATATTCTTAAAATTAACTAGTCAACAGACCCCATAAGAAGCATGTAAATGCATTTTTCTCTGATACCAAATAATCATGTCAATTAACATAAACCCAACAAAGTGACTTAAGTACGTAAGTAATTGTACTGTGAAGTTTAACAAATGCTCGAATTTCCAACTCATTTGGATGAGCCCCCACAAAATTCATACTGCAATATACGACTGTTTTAGTCTTTTCCCCCTATCTCATTCAGCACAAGCTAAAGGTAGCTATTTTATTTCGCATGAATTATGACAAAACTATCCATAATATAAAAATATATTAAGCAGAAAAACCACATACCTTATCTCTATACAGCTGCTTGAGCTGAGCAACCTCAGCAAAACCCTTGTCCACCAACTTCCTCAGATTCCTCGGTCCAACACCCGGAATCGTCAAAAGATCCGCATTTGCGGCCACCACGGCCTTTTGCCTTCTCTGAATAGCCCTACTGCTACTATTCTCTGCCAACTCCGGCTTCTTCTCATTCAAACCCTCATCATTCTCCTCCTCGGTTTTACTCTCCCCATCCCCTTTCCCCTTCTTCTCTTCATAACTAACTCCATCCAAGATTCTACCTTTATTCTGACTCCTCAACACTTTAGTCGCCCTGAACCCCCTCCAAGTGGAAAATGGTCGGAGCGGCGGGGCCCACGACCGGTTCAGAGGGGCGGAACCACAGCGACAGGTGACAAGATGAAGGTTAGGGTTTGGGGGGCTGAGATGGAAGGAAACGGGCATGGAGAACGAGAAATTAGGGTTAGGGTTTCGTTTTTTGGTGGTTTTAAGCCATGAAGAGGTTGAGAGAACGGGGCAGGGGTTTGTAGTTGCGGCGGGGAGAGAGAGATTTAGGGTTAGGTTTGGCGATTAGGGTTAGGGTTTTGGAGGGGAGCTCGGACGGCGGGATTTTGGGGAGGTAGGGTTTTTGGGGGTTTGCAAAAACGTTGGAGAGAAAGAGAGGGAAAAGGACGGGGGATTAGTGATATTTGTTTGAGAACTTACAACTTACATAAATTAGTGGTTAATATTTTTATTAAAGGGTGTAACGAGAGCGAAAATTACTTGAAATCCAACGGGCAATCTTTACAAGGCTAAATTTCAGGAAACCCCTTGAACTTTAGACCATTATTAGGTAACCCTACATGACTTCCAAAATATCCAGGTATCCACCTCAAGTTAGGGGTTACCAAAAACCCAATATAATTTTACTTTTATCAGAAATTCTTGTTAACAGTGATAACCATAATTTTCATATTGTTGGGTAAAATTATGGAGGCAGTTGCATGGGGTTATATTTTTTCTAGTAAAGTTGTGGTTCACTATCTTTCTTTTTTTTATCTTTTTTTTTTTGGTTTTTTTTTTTGTTTTTTTTGTGTGGGGGTGGGGGTTCAAAGTTATGGGGTTTTGGTAATCAATCGAAGTTGTGGGGGCATTCTGAAATTTAGCGATTTTTTCGATGTGAAAAAATATATATTTGTCAGTGAACATGAATATTAGTTTCTAGCTTATTTTGCTAGGTGAGCTATTACAATATAGATATATATAGCCTGGTGTTAAGGTATGCCGATTGGTAGCATTGTTGTGTTGGAACAAGGTAAAACTGATACAGGAGATCTACACGACTAAGACGACATCAACGGACGACGACTCGACATCTCAACTCGAGTCGAGTTAACAGTCGAGATGACTAAACAGATGGACGAGACGAGACTCGACTCAAACCAGCCTAGACGAACAAACGACTCGATGCGACGAGTCGAGATGACGACTCGAGTAAAAGCAACCCAGCTGAGACCCCAGTCAACAGGACGAGACCCCAGCCAAGACCCCACTCGACAGGACGAAACGACATACCCCAGTCGACACGAAGGGCGGTATTAGTCGACACATGTCAGTCGACACGAAGGGCAGTACTACTCGACATACTTAGTTGACTCATGTTCAGTCAACACGAAAGGTGGTACTACTCGGCACGCCTCGCGTCGGCAAATATAATAGGAAAGGAGTTTTTTTTTTTGGTTATTTCCTTTTAGGATTAGAGTTTCTTTTTTATTAGGGTTAGTATAGGGTTAGTTGGATATAAATATTAGTTCATTTTGTAAATCTAGAATTAACTTTCCAATTATTCAATTAAGAGAATTTTTCTCCTTGTTTTTGTTCTCAAACTTGAGAAACTTAGAGCTTGTGGATTCAAGCTCGTGAAATACCTGCTATTATCAGGGCTCGTCACCATCGGAACAATATCCGATCGGCCTCCCCGTTTCTACGTCTGCGTCAAGTGGTATCAGAGCTTCGGCTTCAACATCTTCGACAATGACAGGTGATAGCGACAAGGAGCTTTCTCTACAGGATCTTTCCGCGAGTGTCATGCCTCGTTTCCCAAAATACCCAAGAATCGGAGCGTGAACAAGCTCGCAACGTATTAGATTGAGAAGAAATATACACTATTATTTTTTTTTTTTTCTCAATCCAATACGCTAAGTGTCAAATACATAAATATCAAATCACAGGTCCCCGAACACAATAGCAAGGATATAAAGACAATCCAAAATAAGAAATAAACATATCATCCATAGTAAATAATCTCAGACATAAAATATAGGTCAAACGTACCCTTATTACAAAAAGGTTTAACTAGGAATAAAAATACACAGTCTATGATAAAAGAAAATACTGATAAAATAACTGAATCCATCATCAAACTAAGGAAAATACTATAAAAGAGTTCTAATGTTCTTTAGCTACTACAGAAAAGAAAACACGTCTAGGCTTCAGTTTGTTCTTCCACTCTATCGGAAGGACATTCCGACTGGGCATACAGCAACTCAGCTGCATCATCGAACCGAACCTGTTCGTCTCTTAAATCTGACGCACACCAGAAAAAATAGGTGTATGTTAGTGTGCATGGCACACGGCAAGATCTCGCATGAACAAATAAAACGGTCTAACGACCCATGCTATGATAATAATAATACTAATATGAAAGACAATGATACATGCAACAGGAAATCTAATGATAACATACAGCTGTGTGAATACGGTAATTGGGTCGAATACTAACCATCCTAAAAATCACTGGTCCATCTCTCAATTAGGTCCAAGTTCGCATTACCGAAAGACTGACTGTTCACCATCCCCTATGTGCATCTAATCCCGCGAAATAGGCGGCTAGAGGACTACACGCAATCCAATCTTGGCCCGGTTCGGACTCAGGCAAAGCTCAGGTGACGAAACAGGTCACGGATCCAAGTGGCGAAACAGGTCACTTGGTCCAACAAACCAACCCTAGGACAAAACATGTCTCTGGTGCGGGCCTGGAAGTTAAGTCAACAATCACAGTCGATCATGCGAACTAAGAGTTTCCCATCCTAACTCTTTTCATTTTTCTCAGTCAACCATAATCTTCACTGAAACTCGGGTTCACCACCTAAACTCAGTCAATACACTCACACATGTCACTAAGTCTATTCATGACGTACGAAACCACTAAGTCATGAACTACTAAGGTTCTCAACACATCAATAGATCGTGAATATAGTATGGCATGTTAAACATGATTACACAGGTTTACGAAGCAGAAATGAGAACTATAATGAACATGAAATGCATAAACAAAATACTACAGCATGAATACATACATAAGGGACTTCATCACTACTGGAATATCCAAACTCCTCATGCAAGTTACCCGTACTTAATTATTCTACAACATAAAATTGTAGTAAAAAGAAAACGGGAACTGATATCGTTACGCACATGAAATGTCGCGGTCTACGACGATCAATTCTACGTTCTTAAAAAATAAAATATCCTTTCTATTAATAAATTTCAAAAACTATCCTTCGTCATAACTACTACAAAATAATCATTTAAAAAATAGTTAATATATAGACATATATATTTATTTTATTTTATTTTTCATAAATTCTTTTTCTATAATAGTTCACAAATTCTAACATAACCCTAACTTGTTATTCATGTCCATATACATTAAATATATTTTAACAAAAATTAACAATTAAACTCTACACGTACATAACTAATCGGTCATCTTCATCCCACGCAAATATTCGGTTGTACACATCAATCGCAATAACGATAATAATCATAGTAATAATTAATAATAATAATTTAACTACATGTAATCATCATAAAAACACGATATTAACCACAAATAATTTAGTTACCATAATACAACTTAATTGAAATAATTAACCATTAATTAAGAAAACAAAGGTAAACACGAGATCTTGCAAGTGACGCAGATCGAATCTGACGTGAGAAGCGGGGTTCGGCGACTCGATGCTGACGGCGACGGCTCGGGTAGATCTATCGAATTCCTTCTCTTTATGCCGAAGAACATGCCTAGACCTCTCCTTTGTTGGCCTTCTTGTTTTGATGATGTTTAACAAATAATTTACTTCTAATATTGTTTGTCTAGTGTTTGTGTTTTCGTATTTATTCTAGACAAATAACAAGTTGGAGGATAAATGGAATAGAGCTTCAACGATCATATCCAATGGAGGTTGGCGGAATTGTGGAGTGAAGCTTATGCAATTCAAGTTCAAGATCCAAGTTCAGCTTTATCTGCGTAGTGTACCAAGACAAGCTTATTGAAGATCAAGATTAGCTTGGGTAATCTAGTTTAGGTTTTATATTATGTGTGTTAGATATTCAAAGCTCAATATCATATACACACATTTTATTGGTTTCCTTGTATATATATGTAGTCATATATATATACAACACAAGTTTTGATTTTTATGTCTATAAATATGAAATTACATATTTCATATTTATTATTGTGATTTGGTTTAACTACTTAGATATGAAACAAATATATTTTCATATACATACTCATATGTTTCATTTTCTATTGTATTTGTAAAAATATTGTATTCTTAGTTTTTGGACTTAACAATAATCATATACATATTTTATTAAGTCTACATAATCATTGTGCAAAGTTTCAAAACATAGTTTTGTTGGCCTTCTTGTTTTGATGATGTTTAACAAACATTTTACCACTAATGTTATTTGTCTAGTATTTGTGTTTTCTTATTTATTATAGACAAACAACGTAGTTGGAGGATGGATGGAATCGAGCCTTAACGATTATATAAAATGGAGGTTGGCGGAATTGTGGAGTGAAGCAACGTCAATTCAAGTTAAAGATCCAATTACAAGCTTCTTCCACAAAGTTTACCAAGTCATGCTCATTGAAAACCTTCATCAAGCTTGGGTATATTTAGTATAGGTTTATATTATGTGTGTTTAATACTCTAAGCTCAATATCATATACACACACAATATTGGATTTTCTCACAAAATGAGCTATTTTGAGAAAACTTTATGATATTATTTTATTGACCACGTTTACTTTATATTCATGTGTTATAATATTTATGAAGACATTTCATAAAGTTTCAATATACGTTTAAACTCTTTTTGTCAAAAACATGTTCTTAACAAATTCATATTCATGCATGTTTTTACAAAATAATGAGTTTTCACAATTGAGAAATGAAAATTGAAAATTTATTTTTTTAACATGTTTGTTTTCATGTTTATAAATATTTTGCACAATTTCATTAAGTTTGGAATTGATTTGTTATGTTTAATAGAATTTACAAAATCATGTTTTTGTTTGTGCACATGTCCGTGCATGTTTTACAAAATAGATGAGTTTTTATAAATGGGAAGTGATATTGAAGAAATTCTTTCTTTGACATGTTTATCTACATGTTTATAAACTTCCCTCAAAATTTTACTATTTTTGGACATGTTTATCTACATGTTTATAAACTTCCCTCAAAATTTTACTATTTTTGGAGTTGATTTACTGTGCCCAATTGATTTTACAAAATCGCGTATGTCAGCAGTTTTTCAGAAACTGTAAATCTGTGTTCAAACATTTATTTCTCTCAACTGGGAAATGAGTTTTCAGAAATTCTTTCTCTAACATGTTATTATACATGTCTATAACCTTCCCATAATATTTCATATTTTTTGGAGCTATTTTACTATTTTTAATTAATTTTACAAAACTGAAACGCAGTGCTATAGTACCAGCGGTCGACCGGTACAGTCGACCGCCAAACTCTCTGGACGTGGTTACTGTAGCACAACGGCTATATTTTTTAGATTTTGATATATCCGTTATTTTGTCTTTTTGCTTGGTTTTCTTGGGTTTTTGGGCTTGTTTCATGAGCCTATATATACTCCATGCCATCATACTTCTAAGGGTACTAAAGAAATATTTTAAACAAGTTTAAAGAGTTTTAAACAAGGGTTTAAGTGTGTTTTAGTGTTTATTTGGTTTGAAGATTGTTTTCACAAGTGAAGGAGATCATCTTTTTGTTTGGGCTCTAATCTCCATCTCTCCATCTTGTCATCTATTGGAGAAGTTTTCTAAACTCTATCTAGCTTTACGTTTGCTTAGTTATTTAATTATCATTCTTTAAAGCTAGTTTTTTATATTGAGTTTAGATTTGATTATATTATCTCATTGTTACATACACCCACTTGAGCTTATTGTATTTGCATACATAGTATATTAGGGTTGTGAGAGATTGTAACATTGAGTTGTGCTTAATTGTGTTCTCATCTATTGTAGAGAACAAATTTATATTTGTTACATTGTGAGTGGTGTAAGGTTTTCGGTGAGCTAGAAAACCGAGTGTGTTGTGAAGTTTTCGGTGAACTAGAAAACCGAGTGTGAGGAGTGAACGTTGTTCGGTGAGCGTTGAAAACCGACACTGTGAGGTGTAAACGTTATTCGGGTGAGCGTAGAAAACTCGGTTGTGATAGTGGATTTCTCCCCGGGAGTGAGGAACGGAGACGTAGGACGGAAGATCCGAACTCTGTGATCATATAGTGTGTTTGAGTGTGCTTTGGTGTTCATTTATATTTATGTTCATATCTTATATCGCCATTGTCCATAACTCATTATTTATATGATCCACTATCTAGTTCATATTGTTTACCCCTTGTGTTAGTTTATATATCCTTGCATATATATATAATTCATCATATAGGATATATCTCATTGTTTACATTGCTTATCCTAGCTTATATAGTTGTTATAGTTCATACTTGCTAGGATAACTTATTAATTAATTTTATAATCCCCCCCCCCCCCTCTAGGGTCTAACAATTGGTATCAGAGCTTGGTGCTCTTTGATTTAAGGTCTAATCGCCTTGAGTTAAAGATCCAAGTTAGCTTATTGCGCTAATCAAATTTTGAGCTTTATTTGTATCTTGCTTGCCTTTTATATTATGGATATGCATGGTTTAGGTTATGCCATTAATATTGCTCCTAGATTAGATAATTTCCCCTATGCCCAATGGTGTGTTAGATTTAAACTATTTGTTAGATCTAAACATTTTGATTTATGGGAAATTATAGATGATGCTTATATTGTGCCCACTTTGGAAAAATCCAAATGGAATAAGAATGATCATCGTATGTTTACAATGAACAATATTTTGTTAGAATATTTGCTAAATGCTTTTAATTCATCTATGTCTAACAAGTTTGTTCATTTTGATAGTGCTTACAAACTTTGGAAATTTATAGAAGCACATCAAGGGGACTTGGAGGCGATCCGACAAGCTTTGGAGGATCCCGCTTCAAGTTCATATGGAGCTTCATGCACACGTGCACTAGGCGATAGCCCTAGTGAGGTTTGCGAGTTCGAACCCGATAATGATTTATCTAGTGATGAACTTGCTTGTGCTAGTGAAAAATTATTACATGCCTTTAACAAATTGCAAAATGATTTCATTAATTTACAAAGCAAGCATGAAATTTTGAAATCCGATCATGAGTTGTTAGCATCTAAGTTTGAAACTATTTCTAATGAAAATGTGATCCTTAAAGAAAACAATGAAAAATTAAAATTGGATCATGTTTCTTTAACTTCAAACGTTGCTAGTTTAACTCATGAAAGAGATAATGCCATGTTAGAAGTAAAGAACATACAAAATAACACTGCTTCTTTTATAAATGACTACTTATGTTCTACTTCTAAAAGTGCATATGTGCCTAAAAATGAAGACTTGAATCTTATGAAAAATTGCATTTCATCTTTAGATTCAACTTTGAAAATATGCATTGATAACCATAAGAAACTTATGGACAAGTGTGCTAAATCTAGTAAATCACCCATACACTATGCACACTTGTATAGCAAAGTTTACAAGTGCTCCATTTGTGGTCGTAAAGGCCATTTAGCTAAATTTTGCTATGATGCACAAAAACATAAGAATATTAATCCTTCTTGTGCATCTCATCAAGTTTCTTCATCACATGTACACACACATGCACCCATTGCTCATCATAAGCATGCTCATGTGTATAGATGTGATCATTGTGGTAGATTTGGTCATTTGGCCAAATTTTGTTTTGATTTAAAGAGAGTTTCACATTTGCAAAATAATTTTAAAAGATCATCCATGTTTGCAAATGTTTCTAAAGTTTCCCGTGCACAACCGTTTGGTCAACATAAGCAAATGCTTCCTTTCCATTGTACTTATTGCAATCGGAAGGGTCATTTGAGTAATTTTTGTTATGACCGTGTTCGTGCACCATATATGCCTAAGAGGGTTCATAACCCTAAGGCTTTGAGCTTTATTGATAGGGGTCATGTCCCTAAACAATCCGGCACCAAGAATACTTGGGTGCCAAAATAATTTTTAAGCCAAGAATTTTAGTACTTTTATTTTTCTTTTTCTTGGTTTCGAAAAATGTATTTTAAATTTTTATGAAAA